CTTCTCCCGTGGGTTGTGGCTGCGCGTCTTCACCGCGGTCTCCCCGTGTTGTGTCTCCACTCTGACCGTGGCGGCGAGTTCGCCTATGGTTGGCTTGGACAGTTCTATCGTGCGGAAGGCATCACACAGTCGTACACCTTGCCGGACTCACCACAGCAGAATGGGGTTGCTGAGCGCCGCATCGGCTTGGTTATGGAGGTTGCTCGCACCTCCATGATTCATGCCGATGCCCCCCATTTTCTGTGGCCGTTCGCTGTTCGCTACGCTGCTCACCAGCTTAACCTGTGGCCCCGCTCCCAGCGGCCGCAGGTTTCGCCGACCCTCCTTTGGACCGGGTCCCCCGGTGACGCGTCTGCGTTCCACGTCTGGGGCTGCCTTGCTCACGTTCGTGCCTCTGGCACGGACAAGCTCACTGCTAGCACTGTCCCCTGTGTCTTCCTTGGTTTCCCACTGGACTCGTCTGACAAGCTCTTCTACCACCTATCGTCTCACCGCTTCCTCCACTCTCGTGAAGTCACCTTTGACGAGTCTGTCTCCTTCTAACGCCACTTCCCTCACCGAGGTCTCCCGGTTTCCCCGCCCCTGTTCCTTGCTCCCTCTCCTCCGGTCGCCCCTCCTCCTCCCCCACCTCGTCCTGCCCCGTCTGGTGTCTCTCACGTCACTCCTCTCCCGTCGGTTGTCCCCGTTGAGGAGTCTGCTGACTCTGGTGGTACCCCCGCCACGTCCTTGCCGAGTCCTCCTTCCCCGTTGTCTCCGCCTCCCCTGTCGCAGTTGCTGCCTCCGCCGCCGTCGCCGCCACCGCAGCCGCCGCTCTTGGCCTCTGGGGGTGCTAGCGTTAAGGAGGGTGTTCGTCCTGCGGCTCCTGGCGTGGTTTGTCCCGTCGGGCCTAGGGGTGCCGCTGGTGCTAGAGAGGGTTCTCGCTCTGGAGGTGTAGGTTCTGGGGGTACTGCCGTTGAGAGTTCTGCCGGTCTGAGGGTCGCGGCCCAGCCGTCGCAGCAGCCGTCGCCGCCGGTCTCCGCTCTCCGCCTGCTCGGCCTTCCCTCCCCTGACCGCTCGCCGGTGTCTCCCCCACCGCCTGCTGACCTTCGTGTCTATGGCCCTGTGTTCCCGCCGCTGGACTCGTCTCCGGCCCGTCTTCCTCCTCGTTCCCCTCCTGTGTCCCCTCCGCTGTCTCCTGCCCTACACCTCCGTCCCACGTTTGGTCTCGTCATCCCTCACGTGCCCATCCCGCCTCTCCTGTCCTGCGCTCCCACCATATGTTGCTCCGTTCCCACTTGTCTCGTCCTCTCCTCCTCCCGTCACCTCCTCCCTCGTCGCTTGCTGTTGCACCTCCATTCTCTGACTACCTCTGTGCCGCTCGTCCCCTTGTCCCTCGGGTTCTTGCCTCTCTTGTTACCGACCCTTCTGTTCCTGTCTCGCACCTTGACGCGCTTGTCGCTGATGTTGCTGACTTCGCCTCTACCCGCCGCCTTGACTACGCTACTGCTCTGGTCTCTGACCCTGCCCATCCTCCGTCCGTCGGGGGTGCTCCTGCCCTTGGCAGTGACGTCCTAGAGGACAGGCAGTACGAGCTCGCTTTCCTTTCCGAGGCTGCTCCCGATCTCTGCTCTATGCTGTTAGTCCCTGAGGGTGACCCAAACGCCTTTGACATCCCGACTCCTCGCACCTACGCTGAGGCCACCTCGGGACCTTGTGCCTCTCAGTGGATAGCTGCCATGGAGCAGAAGATGGCATCTTGGAGGTCCACCGGCACTTACGTCGACGCAGTTCCCCCGCCTGGGGTGAACGTAGTCGATGGTCGGTGGCTCTTCAAGGTGAAGCGCCCGCCTGGAGAGCCGCGTGTCTTCAAGGCGCGCTACGTGGCCAGAGGCTTCAGTCAGCGCAAGGGGGTGGACTTCTTCCAGACCTTCGCCTCGACCCCGAAGATGACCACTCTTCGGGCGCTGCTACACGTAGCAGCACAGCGCGACTACGAGCTTCACTCCCTCGACTCTACTGCCTTTCTTCAGGGCAGCCTACACGAGCAGTGCTTCACTGGTACCTTCCTCTGTGGGAACCAGTGGCTTCTCAAGCGCCCGGTCTACGGCCTGCGTCAGGCTCCTCGCGAGTGGCACGACACGCTGCGTGCCACATTAGCAGACCTGCAGTTCTTTCCGTCCTCTGCTGACCCGTCGCTGTTTGTGCGTTCCGGCCAGACTCCGTTCTACATCCTTGTCTACGTAGACGACCTGGTCTTTGCTACTGCTGACAGGGACGCACTGGCCTCTGTGAAGGCCGAGCTGCTGAAGAGACACACCTGCACTGACCTTGGAGAGCTGCGTCGCTACCTTGGCCTGCAGATCTCTAGGGACAGAGCAGCGCGCACCATCACTCTGACACAGTCACACTTGGTGCGTCAGGTCCTTCAGAGGTTCGGTCTTCAGTTCTCCTCCGCACAGCCCACACCTCTACCTGTAGACCATGAGCTCTCCGCTCCCGTTCCTGAGGAGCCAGTAGAGCCCAGTGGCCCCTACGCAGAGCTGGTGGGTTGCCTCATGTACCTGATGACTTGCACTCGCCCTGATCTCGCATACCCTCTCAGCATCCTGGCTCGCTTTGTGGCCACTGGCAGACACCGACCACAGCACTGGTCGGCCGCTAAGAGGGTTTTGCGTTATCTAGCAAGTACATCGGGCATGGGGTTAGTGCTCGGAGGACGCAGGCCGGTGGTCCTCACTGGGCACACAGACGCTTCTTGGGCAGACGACTCTGAGACTCTCAGGTCGTCTCAAGGCTACTGTTTCAGCCTTGGTTCGGGTGCTATCTCTTGGAGATCCACTCGCTCGTCGTCTGTTGCTCAGTCCAGGTGTGAGGCTGAGATCTACGCTGGTGCCACGGCGGCACAGGAGCTCCGCTGGCTGACCTTCTTGCTCATTGACCTAGGTGAGCGGCCTAGCTCTGCCCCGGTCCTGTACGCTGATAACAGGTCCATGATTCTCCTGTGTATAGAGCCTCGACTTGAGGGCAGAGCGAAGCATATCCAGCTGCGGTACTTCCTCCTGCGCGAGCTACAGCAGCGTCGCCAGGCCCGCGTAGTTCACTTGGCCTCAGGTGCCAACACAGCTGATATCTTTACTAAGGCGCTTGCGCCTAGAGATCATCAGCGGCACTGTGTACAGCTTGGTCTTGTTCCTGTAGCTTCTCACTTGTTAGGACCCTGATTGTGTACTCTCTACTATATATACATGTCAGACTGGCCTTGTGGCCTCACCTCCAGTGGCCGGACTAGTAGTGCCATCCTTGCTTGCTTTAGTCTTGTTTGTACTCTTGCTGACTGGTCTCCAGACCCCTGCCTCAGTGGTTGGACTAGTAGTGCCACCCTGAGCTGTTTGCTTATTGTTTAGCTTCACCCCTTGTCTAGCCTAGAGGGTGTGTCAACTTATACATATTAGCTATGTAGAAGTTATAGGCTAGACTGAGGTATGCTTCTAGTGAGTACAACCAACTAGTATTTGTTCTAGGGTTTCACCTTCTAGTCATTCATTCAGTTCTTACTTTAACAATGGTATCAGAGCCGTCCGCTCCTAGCGGGCCTGCTTCTCACGCTTCCGCCACGCTTTCCTCTCCTATTCCTCACGCTGCCATGGCGGCCGCGGCGGCGTCACGTTGCGACGGCGTTGTCTTGTCGCCGGCTGCGCCGTCCTGCCGCGGCTGTCTCGACACGCAACCGTGGCGTCGCTCTGACGTCGTCCCAGTCGTGTCGTACCGCCGCGACCGTCTCGTCGTACTGCTGTGGCGACATGCGGCCAGCGCTCGGCCTTAGCGCTGGCCAGCACACACGCACGTTGTCGCGCCACACCTGTGCTGCTGCAGCCCTGCCCCCGTCCCCTGCATCCCCTCTTAATCGCCGCAGCCGATGGCTGCCTTGCACTGGCCGTCGCACCGTTGCGGAACCTGGCCACGCCGCCGAATGGGGCGAGCGCCACCGCCGCCGCTGCTTTTGCCGAAGCCCCCGCCGCCGCCGCTGTTGCCGCTGGCCTACTTGTCGCCGCACGCCGCCGCCGCCGCTGCTATCGTCACTGCCGCCGCCGCCGTCGTCGCCACCGCACCCTCGTAGCTGTTGTCGCCGCCCCGCCCGTGGAGAGGTCTACCGGGTTGTCAACAGCTGCTGCTGCTGCAGGGTAGTGGGGTGCTAGGTTAGGGGGTGTGTGTGTGTGGTGTGTGGGTGTGTGTGGGCTTGACATTGACACTACCAAGCCTAGGGGTGTGTTAAAATTATTGAAGTTATAATTTATAGGCTTGGTATACTATTACTGAGTACTGCTGTAGAGGGTACAACACCCCTTCTTGTATGCCTCTGTCTTCTTTTCAATCTACCTTTCTTTTCGACATTTCTCCTCACTACTCACGTTCCTAGATCTACTTTCCTCCCACCATTCCATGGCGTCATTCCTAGCTAAGCTAGTGTCCTAACTTTAGGAACCTAGACTCCTAAGTTTCTGAGAATTGGATCCTGAGAAATCAGACTACCATGGAAGCTGAAACCTGGCTATTCAGACTTCGAAAAAAAAATTGGGGCGAAAATCAGAGTGGGTTTTTTTGAAACGTCAGCCCTGTTCCATAGCCCCCGGGCGTTATACAAAAAGTGCCACTAATTACACCCCCACTAAATTTTGCATCAAAATTTAGTGCCACCAGTGGGTGTTTTATCCGGGGGAATACGGTATAAGTTGACAGTGTGTACTACCCGTAATCTCCATCTGGTCTTGATGTGTGCGACGCGAATATGATTGCTTCAAGGATTGAAAGATTAAGGCTGAAACTGTGATTCAACACACAAACAACCTCTCTTGCCGGTGGTTTATGGTAAGCAGCAACGCGTATAATGAAAGGAGATTGTGGAAGCAACTGCATTGCTGTGGTGTACTCTTCTTTCGGACTTGACGCTAGCGAGTCAAAGGAGGCCTTCCTCTTTATTCACAGCGAACCTCGAGTTTCTCCTCCATAATAGCAATCTCCTCGCGTGCCTCGTCCTCCTACCTTTTACTGCTCCTCGCGTCTCCCTGCTCCCAGCGTCAGCCCATCGATCGGGCTTTTCCAAGAGAATCTCCCGCCATGGCGACAGGCCCACTGAAGCGCCTCTGCAGGTCTCGCCTGCGCGATCTGCTCGTCGCGAGCAGCTCTCGTCAACGTCGCACAGTCGCGTCGTCATGCGATCCCATCCACCTCGTCGCCAGCACCTCCCACCGCACATTCGCCGCTCACGATCAGGTAGACGCTTCCACTCTCCACGCATGCACTCACTCCGCCGGTCACGCGCACTCCGCCGGTCACGCGCACTCCGCCAGTCACGGTCACAGGTTTCTCGGCGGATATTTGCAACCCGCCGCCCTTCCGCGCGACCGCAGCCAGCCCGCTTCACCTCCACAGTCGCTGCGTGCTTCGCGCGCAGCGTCGGCGCGCTTTGAGTCGGCTCAGAGGCCCGGGCCCGCCGCGCCACGATCAGCGGCAGGGAGGGACGCAGCATCGCGAGCAGCAGCAGTGCGCTGCCCGCACTCAGCTGCCGCCGAGCGGCGGCACTTGGACGTGCTGCCGCGCACCCCTTCGCCGCGCGCCGGGCAACTCGCTTCAGCAGCGGTGGCACCAGCAGCAGCAGCGCAAGGAATCCGCGGCCACCACTCCGCTGCCGCCGAGCGGTGCCGCCACGACGAGCATCGCTCGGCAGACAACGGAGCGACGACGGCGACGGGGACGGCCGGTGCGTCCGATTTTGCGACCACTGCCACGTCAGCAGCTGATGGCGACGCGGGCGCTCACGTGGCTCATGGCGGCGCCCACGTCAGTGATGCCTCCTCGTGCTGGCTGTGCTCCGCTGATCGCGGTGGTGATGGCGGCGTGGGGGGGGATGCTGGCGACGCAGGGAGGGGCGTGGACGCAGGGAGGGGCGTGGACGCAGGGAGGGGCGTGGACGCAGGGAGGGACGTGGCGCCCTCGGGTGCGAGCAACGACAGCTCCGCCAGCAAGGAAGGCAGTCCGCTGACGTGGCGGTTCTTCTGCGGGACATGTGGCGCGCTGCAACCGGTCGACA